GTTTCATACGGATTACATAATCTGAGAATATTTGTTTTCTATTTGAATTTTTTTTCATTTAAAAGTTTCACTCTCTATAGATATATTTTTCATGTCTGTAATAAGGCAAGCATACACGGAGTTTCGAAGTGACGCACTCAAGTTCACAGAGGCCGAGACGGCAGAAAACACATCCTGTTTGCTTTCATTATTTTACTAAAGCGCAACGTTTCGTTGTTATTCTGAGTGTGTGTGTGTGTGTGTATATATATATATATATATATATATACCTTGCTACATGTACTGCATTAGGCTAACCGAGACTTGTCAGTTGCTCTTTAGTTAGTTTTGATTGCTTCTATCGTCCTCATTTGTAAGTCGCTTTGGATAAAAGCGTCTGCTAAATGACTAAATATAAATGTAAAAATTCCTTCAATTTATGTCTATAGGAACTTTTTCACCCATTTTATCATCCACCAGGCCAAAAAATAAATAAATCTATTGCTTTGAAAATTAAATAGTGATGCTTGCCTAGTAAAGACCTCAAACTGAAGATCTGTAAGAAGAATATAAATTTACATTGTATTTTATCAACATTTCATTGACATGTTTATCAAAAGGAAGAAATGTAAGGTAGGTGTGTAATTTGGACAGCAACCTGCAATGGAGTTTCCTGTTCAGCACTGATATAAAACAGGATTGTGATCCTAAGCTGCCCTGTAGCTGTTGGCACACTGTTACCTTTTCAAAACCCATCAAAGTTAATCTGCAAGCTATTGGCGAGCGGCTCTGATGCATAACCGCCACCAGCACTGACCTTAAATCTGTATTTTGCAGACTTTGCCATTTTGTAGCACAGTGTGAAATGTGAAGGCTGTAATAATTCATACTGACACAAGTAACAAAGCATTATTTCTGTTGTGTATCGTCCTACGGTTATCACCGTCATACTGAAGACATTCACAGCTCGAGCACCTTAATATCTTAAGGAGATGCAGGCTGTCAGCAGTTACCAGATAAAATGGATTAAAGGAACACACAGCGCTGTTATTTAATCCTGTTGAGCACAACAGCAACGGCCACTTTTTCAACAGCTTTGGTTCCAGAACTATTTTTTCTAGTTGAAATAACACTTGGACTAAGACTTGTGGCCTCTACAGAAGCATATATCATCGCTTAACAGCCTCAGAGCTCGGGGTAGGTCTGACTCGAAAGGTTCGTACGCTATCGCCGAAAATCAATTTCTCTGTGGAGAAAATAAATGGGATTTTTTTTACTTCTGAGACCCAGCAGTTTTCTCTCTATTCTCTCACTGGAAAACAATGTGAATATTTGTCTGATGGGAAATAAGCTACAGCAAACAATTGGGTTTTATTGTGACTAATTACACTAATGTTTCATTAGGCTCTTTTGTAGGCTTCGATGCTTAATGAAACTCATTGGGAATAAAATGAATGATATGGATCTTCTTTTTGTCTCATATTCTCTACTGTAGGTGGTTGAAGAATTGCTGCGAAGGTTTCTACAGTCGCAGGGAGAAATTATAATGGAGTCTGTAATGACAGAAGTCCATCTCACAGAGGATCTGTTGAGCAAGAAGTCTCAACTAGTACAAAGACACCTTACAAATCAACCGGTTTTACCTGGAAAGAGCTGTGTGGCAACTCCCACAAAATCAAAGAAGAAGAGAATTTGAAATACAGTTCTATAAAATGTCTATTTTGAGATATTCATGGAAATTAAAGATTGATACCAGCTCTATGTATATGTATGTGCTGTGTGTAGAGGCCACATCTATACTAGAGCTAATACGGTTGATTTCTACAAAACCAGTTGACTCGTATTGACCAAATGGAGTGATACATTTCGGAGATTCACACTCGCATCCAAACAAATTCCTAAAAATGTGGCCACAGAAAACCAGCTGCTCTGGTTTTATTGACTGCATTTCATTAAGCATATGAACATTTTGGCAGTGATGCTTCACTACTTTTAAAATAGTTT